CTCAGTGAGTGCCAAAGCCCCACTGAAGCAAGTCCTGCTCCATAAGGCTGTCTCCAGCACAGAAGTTCTCCCATTGTAGACACAACTGGTCCTTACAGCCAATTGACCTGGAGGTCAATTCCTCCCAATGATACCAATAGCAATCAAGGCTTAACTACAACAAGATTGTGCACACAGCCCACAAAGGGGTGCACCAAGAGTGTCAACCTTAGGTAATTAGGGAGGCTGAGCCACTGGGCCCTATAGGACACTTAGCACACAAAGCCACTCTATCAACACAGGGAAGCAGCCAAAATGCAGAGACAAAGAAACAGATCATAAATGAAAGAAATGGAGGAAAGCAAACTACTGGATATAGAGTTCAAAACCATGGTTATAAGGTTGCTCAAGGATCTTCTAGAAATCTCCGAGAAATATAGTGAGACCCTCAAGGATATGAAAAAGGACCGATTAGAAATTAACTATACACTGACCGAAATAAAGAATAATATAAAGAGATCCAACAGCAGACTAGGGGATCCCAAGAATCAAGTCAATGATTTGAAATATGAAGAAGCAAAAAACACCCAACCGGAAAAGCAAAATGAAAAAAGAATACAAAAACATGAAGATAGTGCAAAGAGCCTCTGGGACAACTTCAACGTACCAACATCTTCTGGGGGTGCCAGAAGAAGAGAGAGAGCAAGGTATTGAAAACTTATTTGAAAAAATAATGACAGAAAACTTCCCCTACCTGGTGAAAGAAATAGACTTACAAGTCCAGGAAGTGCAGAGAACCCCAATCAAGAGGAATCCAAAGAGGAACACACCAAGACACATCATAATTAAAATGCCAAGGGCAAAAGACAAAGAAAGAATCTTAAAAGCAGCAAGAGGAAAACAGTTAGTTACATACAAGGGAGTACCCATATGACTGTCAGCTGATTTCTCAACAGAAACCATGCAGGCCAGAAGGGAGTGGCAAGAAATATTCAAAGTGATGAATAGCAAGAACCTGCAACCAAGATTACTCTACCCAGCAAAGCTATCATTTAGAATTGAAGGTCAGATAAAGAGCTTCACAGATAAGAAAAAGCTAAAGCAGTTCATCACCACCAAACTAGTAGTATATGAAATGCTGAAGGGTATTCTTTTTTTTTAAAATATATTTTATTGATTTTTTACAGAGAGGAAGGGAGAGAGATAGATAGTTAGAAACATCGATGGGAGAGAAACATCGATCAGCTGCCTCCTGCACATCTCCCACTGGGGATGTGCCCGCAACCCAGGTACATGCCCTTGACCGGAATCGAATCTGGGACCTTTCAGTCCACAGGCCGATGCTCTATCCACTGAGCCAAACCGGTTTCGGCAGAAGGGTATTCTTTAAGAATAGGAAGAAGAAGAAAAAGGTAAAGATAAAAATTATGAACAAAAAAGTGACAACAAATACATATCTATCAACAAGTGAATCTAAAAATCAAGTGAATAAAAAATCTGATGAACAGAATAAACTGGTGAATAGAATAGAAACAGGGGCATAGAAAGGGAGTGGACTGACAATTCTCAGGGGGAAGGGAGTGTGGGGGGTGAGGGAAGAGACTGGACAAAAATCTTACACCTATGGACGAGGACAGTGGGGGGGGGTAAGGGCAGGGGGTGGGGTGGGAACCGGGTGGAGGGGAGCTATGGAGGGGAAATGAGGAACAACTGTAATAATCTGAACAACAAAGATTTATTAAAAAAATAAATGAAAATAAAAATGGATTTTCAGAAAAAAAAGGAGCATGTATTTTAACTAGTGTAAATATCTATATGTAAATCACTGAAAAACATCTTTTCTCCCAATGCAGCTTGCATGTCCCCCCATCCTGTTTCAGTATACCTTCTGGGTAGATGTTTACATTAATCTCAGTCTAAAAAATCTCTTTGAGTCAGAATAATGTCCACTGTCAAATTTTACTTTCTTCTTTTGAAAAGAAGGGAGAAATGTGATAATTTGTTCCATTAATCCATGGTGGCAAAGCTAATGCAACATTTGAAGTATATCAGACACTGTAAGTTGAATCTCTTTGACTAGTGAATTTCAAGATGAATTACTCATTTATTCTGATATATGTAAAACATAGATAAAATTAAGCAATGCTTATTTTTTAAAGCTCCTGATTGTAGCTTGTACTTTTTTGTAAGTTAGAGAATTTACTAAATGCGTTGTCCTATAGCCAGAAAATTCTCAATGACACTATAACCTGAAGACCTGGATCTACATTGCTTTTCTTTTAACATTGAATGTCATTCAATGAAGTCACTTAAATTGGGGGAACAAAGGTTTTCTCACTTATAATTTGGAAATAATAACACACTGTCTAATGTTGCTAGGGGCATCATCCTATCTAATAAAAGAGAAACATGGTAATTAGCCGTACCTCTGCTACCCTTCCCATTGGCTAATCAGGGCGATATGCAAATTAACTGCCAGCCAAGATGGCGGCCGGCAGCCAGGCAGCTTGAAGCGAACATGAGGCTTGCTTGCTTCAGTGACGGAGAAAGCCAACGTTCCCCGCCTGCTGCTGCCGGCCTCTGAGCTTGCAGTTTGAAACATTGTTACAAATATAGAAGCTAAACAAAACCCCAGAAACCTGCTTTCAGAGCTAGAGTTGAAACAGTGTTTCGATTATAGAACACAAACAAACCAGATACCTGCTTTCAGCAGCCGAGGTCTCAGAGCTGGAGCCAAGCCTCAGAGCTAAAGCTGGCCCAGATTAAAAAAAACGAAAAAAAGGAGCGGTTGGGAGCTTCAGTCACCCGCCAGCCTGAAATCAGCCCTCAGCCCCTCACTCAGACTGGCCAGGCACCCCAGTTGGGACCCCCACCCTGAAGGGGGTGTGACCAGCTGCAAACAGCCATCAGCCCCTCACCCAGGTTGGCCAGGCACCCAAGTGGGACCCCCACCCTGATCCGGGACACCCTTCAGGGCAAACCAGCCGGCCCCCACCCATGCACCAGGCCTCTATCCTATATAGTAAAAGGGTAATATGCCTCCCAGCACCGGGATCAGCGGAGCCGTGAGCCTCCCAGCACTGGTATCAGTGAAGTCGCGAGGCCTCCTAGCCCCTGGAGCAGCGTGACAGGGGGCAGCGCCCAAACCCCCTGATCGCCCTGCGGCTCTGTGTGTGACAGGGGGCGGGCCACAACCTCCCTATCCGCCCTGCTCTGTTCGTGACAGGGGAAGGCACCCCAACCCCCTGATCAGCCCTGCTCTGTGCCTGATAGGGGGGAGCTCCCCAACCCCCTGATCGCCCTGCGGCTCTGTGTATAACAGGGTGCGGCGCCCCAACCCCCTGATTGGCCCTGCTCTGTGTGTGACAGGGTGCGGCGCCCCAACCCCCCCCCCACCCCACGGGCCCTGGTCTGTGTGTGACGGGGTAGAGCCATAACTTCCCCATCGGCCCTACC